TAGGTTACAACACCATGTATACCATGAAATGTATTGGTTGATTTGGTTACAACACTATATATTCTATGAACTATATTAGTTGATTAGGCAACAACCCTACATATTCTATGAAATATATTAGTTGATTAGGTAACAACCCTACATATTCTATGAAATATATTAGTTGATTAGGCTACAACACTACATATACTATGAGATATATTAGTTGATTAGGTTACAACACTACATATACTATGAGACATAGTAGTTGATTAGGTTACAACACTACATATTCTATGAAATATACTAGTTGATTAGGTTACAACACTACATATACCATGAAATATACTAGTTGATTAGGTTACCACACTACATATACTATGAGATATAGTAGTTGATTAGGTTACAACACTACATATACTATGAGATATATTAGTTGATTAGGTTACAACACTACATATACTATGGAATATATTAGTTGATTAGATTACAACACTACATATACTATGAAATATATTAGTTGATTAGATTACAACACTACATATACTATGAGATATATTAGTTGATTAGGTTACAACCTTTTTATACGTGACAAAACGTACTGTACAACACCTACTTAAATATGTCCTGTTTTTATAATCTTATTAAACATCAGAAAACTTATTACACAACATCTAGTTACATATATCCTGTTTTAGGCAACCTTAATAAACACCATAAAAATATTGTCCAGCGTGAAGTCAAAAGTGTTCTGTTTGTCTGTACTAAAATTTATGATGTTAACAGTAACTCCGTGGTTGTTTTCACGACAATACACAGTAACCATCCCTGTAAGTGAGTCAGCGGAACACGTTGTTCAAATTACTACGGTAGTCACATTATAAATAAAGTAACGTTTTTCAGTGGTTTTCCGAGAAATTATGGACATACATATATTTACACATTTTATAAAACTTCAAGAAATATCCTGTTATTTCAGACTTGGATATATGTACGTAAAACACTAATTATATTTACATATGACCGTGTCACATAATATTGAACTTAAGAAACAATTCCGCAGATTTTCCCGTTTAGGATTTGTTAACAATCATAGTAGTTATATGTCATTTAACGATGTTCAATCTTAGCTTTGTGAGTTTGTTAGAAATAAAATATCAGATTTTAATATTCTTTAAAAGTAGTTGATTGTGACATGGAGCTGGCTGGTCGAATATTATTTGATAACTAAAAATAAGACAGACAAACTAAATACGTCTGCTGATGTAGTACGCCAACAAAAAAAGATTAATAAAACAATACAATGAATCTAAATACACAACATGATCACGTGATGGACTACGATATAATAAATAACTAGATATCAGTATATATACTTGAAAGACGATTAATAATGGAACAAAAGTTTTATATCCATTAACATGGAATTATTGTGGATATCAGTATATATATCAGTATATATATATATATATATATATTTGGAATATAGTTTTGAAAACATTCTGAACTCCTAACTAATGGTGATCCACATGCTGGTATTTTGAAACCATATATCTTCAGGTTACTTTGGGTGAATGATTTTGTTGTACCATCCATAAGGAAAAATATTAAGTTTATTATTAGTTGATTAGAAAGTGCATTAGAAAGTATTATTGTCTTTAAATTTTTTTGAAGTACGTGTTTAAGATTATAGTTCATTTTATTAATAACATTATTATTCTGAAAATATTGATGAGTGCATCATATTAAATGGGATTATGAGGTATATTTTTCTAATTAATCATGTTTCATTGTTTTTATCAACATGCCTTCATTCTACATAGGGAGGTGAATATATACAGATAGAGGTATATTATTTCATTTATTCTAATTGTTTATAGATACTCAAATAAATTTAATACTGCTTATTTAAATTAGGCTAAATATTATACTGCATACCATTATTGCAAATTTCTTCCACATATTACTGGGAAGCCTCTGTAATATGGTAAAATGTCATATATTTGTGTTTATAACCTTTGAAATCTATTTTACATAATATAATATTTAGGGGCAACCAGGGGTAAAATTCTGCTGTTACTCATTGGTACTGATTATGATTACTGGAACTTATTTTTTATGGCAGTACTAGTACCAGGATTTATTGGAGCAGCTTTGTCCTTTTCTATGTTTACACGTAGATGTTTTTTTTTCTTATTCAAAAACAGATCCACTTCACCCAGCTGAGTACCTGTACTTATTTTATTTCTTTTATTGAGAATTTCACCCCTGGGGACAACAAGGGTCCTATTGGTCCATCTAGATTGATCCATCCTCTAAATAAACTAAGACTATTAAATAAAAAAACATAACAATAAAAATAAAAAACCTCAAAGCCAGCCTTTATCATTCTTAAACGTTAAACACCTCAATCAGATCCCCTTTAACTCTTCTTTTTTCAAGAGAAAAGGATTTCAGAGATCTTAACCTCTCCTCATGAGACAATCCCTCCATCCCAGGTACCATTCTAGTAGCTCTCCTTTGAAATTTTTCCAACAATTCAATATCCTTCTTAAGTTTAAAAAGCCCAAGACTGAACACGGTACTCCAAATGTGGCCTAACCAGTGACATATACAATGAAATTATAACCTCTTTAGACTTATATTCAATATTTCTGTAGATACAACCTGAAATCCTATTTGCCCTACCACTAGCAACAACACAATGCTTGGATGGCTAAAGAGACTGATCAATCACTACACCAAGATCTCTTTCATTCATAACACTGTTAAGGTTATTCACATCCAAATTATACTTATTCACATGCATTATCTTGATTTATTTATAATTAAAACCCATCTGCCATTTATTTGCCCAACTCACTAAATGATCTAAATCCTTTTGTAAATCAGCAGCATCCTCTTCACAGCTAGAAACACCCAAGACCTTAATATCATCTGCAAATTTAAGTAATTTATTGACTAACCCTTCATCTATGTTATTGATGTAAATCAAAAAGAGCAAAGGTCCTAAGACTGAGCCTGAGGTATCCCACTTGTGACATTAATCCAGTTTGACTGAACTCCATTTATAACAAGCTTCTGCTTCTTCCATCCAGCCACTCATCTATCCAATTACCTAACTTGTCCTCCATACCTATAGAGATATCTTTTTTTACAAGCCTTTTATGTGACCCATTTCAAATGCTTTCTGAAAATCCAGGTACAGCAAATCTACACCCTTATCTACTTAAGCAGTAACCTTGTCAAAAGATTTGTAAGGGAAGATTATCTTCTAGTGAAACCATGTTGACTATCCAATAAAATTCTGAATTTTGTTAAATGATCTTGCAAAGTGTCTTTTATCAGACTTTCAAAACTTTTCTCACAACTGATGTAAGACTAATAAGCCTATAATTACTGGGACAGTTTTTACCACCACCCTTGAAAAAGCAGAGTAGATTGGCCAACTTCCAATCCTCTGGCACCTGCTCACTATTCAAGGACTTACAAAAAAAAAAAAATACCAGCAAATGACTCGCATGTACAATCCTTACTTCCTTCAAAACCCTTGGGAAAATATTATCTGGGTCAGGAGTCTTATTTCTCTTTAAACTTCCTAATTGTTTTTTTTAACAAGCTCGGAATTAATGTGATCATCTTGTTTGATCTTATTTCCATCTATCAACTGTTCAAGATGAAGAATATTGCTTAAATCTTCATGAGTAAAAATTGAAGAAAAAGCAGAATTTAATAATCCAGCCATCTCATAATCATCAAATATGAGCTTTTCTTTATCATCACTCAAAGGTCCTATTCCTATTCTAACACTTTGTTTACCATTAATGTAATTAAAGAAATCGTTACTGTTAATTTTTACAGTTTCAGCCAACCTTTTTTTCATACATCCTTTTTGATGTCATAATTTCCTGTTTGACCAACTTTCATGATCTTCTATAATCTTTTAAATCTTCTATAATACCAGTTACTTTAAATTTCATAAATTAGTGATTATTTTCTTTAATTTTATCCCTTATACCCTTTGTGAGCCAACCTGGTTTTTTTACTTGTAGCCACCTTTTTATTTCTTTAAGGAATGTTTATCTTGAATATTTAAAACTTTTCCATATTTGATCAGTGTTTTGATCAAAATAAATCAGCTGCCCAATTCACAACAGATAATTCTTGTCGCATCATGTCCAAATGTGCTTTTTGAAACTTGTAACCAAAGTATCATTATTCCTGATCTCCATTTACAGCAAAACATCGAACCTAATAGCATAGTGATCACTTGCACCCAGATGTTCCACAGTTTGACCCTCTTAGCCATTTATATATTAGAAGTTAACAATAAATCTAAAATAGCATTGGTTTTTTTGTAGGTTCCTTGAAAAATTGGTGAATAAATCCAAAAACCTTTCTCCCTCATGATTTTACTCTTACATTTCCCAATCTTTATGCCTGAAATTAAAATTATGACCTCAATAACAGCTGAAATCTTAATCTCACTGTAAAGTTCCTCATTAATTTCATCAGTATCATCTGGTGGTCTGTAACAAGTCCCCACTAAAAAGCTTTTCCCTTTAAATTTCTTAATAGAAACCCAAGTGGTTTCAATCTCCCTGCTATTGGTTTTGATATCCTTAACTTCATCAGGATGTAATTCACGTTTTAATTATAAAGCCACTTCTCCCATCTCTTTAGTACTCTATCCGTATTAAATAACCTATAACCCTGTATTTCAAAGACATTTCTATCGTCAAAATCGTCTACATTTAACCATGTTTTAGTTATTCCCATTATATTCAAATCCTCTATTCCTACCAGTGCTCTAAAGTCATATATTTTATTTCTTATACTTTATCATTACAATAGTAACAGTTAAGCCTACCATTAGAACAACTACTATACTTATTTCCTATGCTAAACTTTTCTCTACATCTTCAATTTTTTGCATTTAGTTCATCTTGGCACTCACCACTGTTTAGTCCTAGTTTAAAACTTCCCTTACAGCTGAATTAATAGCCCTTGCAAACAAGACAGCCCCTATCCTATTAAATCTAAACCATCCATTCAAAAAAGCTCCCATTAAAATGATCCCACAAGTCCAACCAGCGTATCTGCTCATCCTTACATTTAGCCCTAGTGATGTTGTCAGTAAACTTACTTTTTTAGTAGTACATAGTAATGTAAGTTTATGGGTGTATTGGATGAAGGATTCTTCTACAGTAGGTGTCTGTGACTTGTTGGTGATAAATTCAAAACAATAAACAAACAGCACGCACTTCACTTGTTTTCAAAAATAACATATATATTCGGAACAAGTTAAACATACGTACAAAAATTCCTTACACTATGGAGGTCGTGGTTATGTCTTAAACACTATATAGTTCTCTTCTTCTTGTCCAAAGTCTACTTAGGCCTATTCAAGTGCTTTAGAATTCAGTTGACAAACCAAACTGTTTTTCTCTATTTCTATTGTCAGACTATCTATGTATAGGTCACTTACATTGTCATTGAGTTAATGTGGTTGTATTTTGTGCATCAAAAATTGTCTGCTCCTTTTTTGTATTTCCAAGAATCCTTTTCCTTTTGTCAAAGTCCACTCAGGCTGGTTAAATTACTTTAGAACACCCTTTGATGAGACAACTTATTCTCCTTCTCTCTTACAAAATAGTTAATCTCACTCTAACATATCAACCATTAGGCCTTTCTCTCCCACAACGATTAACTTTGCATTTAACTTTTCTGACGGAACTTCTTCTCATGACTTTACTCTCTTCTACTCTATTTTCTTATCTGCTCGCCAGCTATTTGTATGTCTATCGCTTAAGCCTTCTAGAAATCTCTATAATCTTGACATCAGTGGATTGCACGTGACGTTCAATAGCCTTTATATCAGTGAATTGCAAACACAAAATAAATAAATTAATAATACTACTTGCAGTAAACCATCTTTTATATCTGACAGACCTACTCATATATTCATTTCCTCATATTTCCATAAATTAATAATACTACTTGCAGTAAACCATCTTTTATATCTGACAGACCTACTCATATATTCATTTCCACAGTTAATTCTCGGCAGTATCTCTGACATAATTAAGTGCTTTATCAACCCCTTTTACTTATCAGTTAGCTCCTCTGACCTATCTTTTCCTACATCATTAGTCCCTACGTGCACAACAAAAACTGCATCGTTGCTAGTCCCCTTTATTATATCTCTTGCTCTGTCAGTTATATTCTCCACCCATGCCCCAGGCTTAGGTATTTATTTGATTAATGTTTTATACAGTAACATACACAAGTGTGGCTGCATAAAAGACCACTAGAATGCACCATTTTACACGTATTTTTCAAAATCTGTTTTTTGAGGGGTCATGACCCCAGACTCATTATGAGAGCTTAGTGCTTTTAGTACTTGTTACAAGAGTATATCCATCTTTGCTACCTCTCTAACTTAATAGCTTTGTTATTCAGAAACCAAGGTGATGAAACTAATGGTTGTTAATTATTTATAATATTTAATTATTGATACTAAATGCATTTTAGGGAAGGCCTGGTTTGATAGGAGCACGTGGACAAAAAGGAGAACCTGGTGATGGTGTAAAAGGAGAAAAGGGTGAAGTAGGATTACCTGGACTACCAGGACCCGTAGTATATGCTGGAACCTTAGAAGAGGACGTAAGTTGTTCCTTTTTTGTTGAGTCTTCTTCTCATATATTCATAATTTTTCAATATTTTACTTTCAGTTGGTCATTCTGGATGCTGTGTGGTTGGATTTTAAAATCTGAGTCATTTTCAAACTCTTAATACAATATAGTAGTTTCACTTTTCCTTTCACACTTTCTAAATCTGCATCCAACCATTTCTGCCACATGTCTTTAGTATCAATAATTGCATTAATGTATCTTGTGTTGCTCTATTATATGGTTTGGAATTATTGGGCTTGAAAAAGTTAGTTGTTTTCATTGACTTTTTAATTTTTTTTAAATTAGTTTAGGTCAAGTGTGACCACCTGGCTTTTCTGGTTACTTAACTTAAAAGGTTAAGCATTAAAATAATGGGATCAAGCATGTAAAACTAGGTATAATGTAATAACTGGTTGTAAATGTTAACAGAATTGTGGCTTAAAACCATGAATACAAAATTATGTATATATTTCATAAGAGTTAAGAAAATGCATTTATAAAATAGCAAAATAGCTAACATGAGCTAAATTGAAGATTTTTTTTTTTTTTTCACCAGGAAATATTTGGATGTTGTACAAAGCATGCCTGTTTGAAATTTGCATAGTATTATATCGGTAATTAACTCTGATAAGAATGGTATTTATGTAAATCTTCCATAAAACCTGTATTGGGAATCATATAAATATTTGTTATGTTTGATTAACTCCGAGTAACAAAACGACTTTGAGTTTGAATAAAACACCTGGAATATTAAAGTCGCTTTTTCAAAATCAAATGTGCCACAATTAATGTCCAGAACTTTAAACCAGAATTTTTACACTTGTACAGAAACTATGAAAGTACAGTGCATTTGCCCTTTTGTTTATTTGAATATAATATGAATAACATCATAAGAACAAGTTCATTTGCTTACAAGATTATCTATTAGTTTTGAAATTACAGTCATATACCCCAAGAGTCTTATAGTAAATAGAAATGATAATTTGGATTGATCTTAAAACAGTATTTCAACTTTATAGGGTTTTGGAAATGGAATTGGATATGATAACAATAGACTTGCTGTGAATTACATTCCAGGTAAAACCATCACCTTAAATTCGTATTAAGAATTTGTAGTTGTAGTCTTAAGTATAAGAGTTAATAGGTTACTGTCCTAACTGTTTTACTTGGGGAATTAATATTTAGATATCAAACATAATATTATATACTTTTTTTTTTTCTCCATCCAAAAGGTTTAAAATATTGCTGCTAAAAAACGAGATTTCCTACTATCTTACTTGAGTATTTTCTGAATGTGTAGAATTGTAGCAAATACATTGAAGTAAACGTTAAAAGCATTTGGCACCTTAATTTTTTACCTTTTGCTTTTTGGGCCATTTGATTTCCTTTATCTATATGAAGCATGTACTATCATTTTGGGCAGAAACTATATTGAAGTGGTAAGTTTTTCAGTCAACTTGTTTGCTTGATTACAAACAGAAATTCCATACTGCTCTTTGTTGCATAATGTATACAACTTTGTATACTTTCTTTGATATGTTTTATTACTATCTTTTGAGAATAGAGCATCTAGTAATTCTTCCCATTTGACTGTGAGTTGTCACTATTAACTTCATTGGTTGTCACTACTATAGTATATACAAATTATATTTCAAAAAGAAAGATCAATTAAAGGTCAATCCTTCATTAAATGAAGAAAAATTTATTTCAAACAAGATGACAAGAAAATCTGGATGGGATTAATTTTTGTTCTTTGTTTATGGAAGAATATTGCTTTAAGCTATAAAAATAATATTTTAATCTCTACATTAAATGCAGAAGCAATGTTATTGACTATATGATAAGCTGAAAACCTTTGGCAGTTATCTTTATCATTGTTTTGATGTGATGAAAAAATCATGCTTCAAAGATATGTAACACTAATTAGTCATATTTTGTTAATGATAATTTTTTCATGTTGAGAAATGTTTATCTTTTTGTTTAGAGAAAATTTTCACATTTAGAACAAATCAAGGACTAATAATCAGATACATTACTTCTAATTTGTGATACAAGTTAATCTGTAACTTTTGATATGAGAAATATTGATGATATTTAAATATTACTCTCTAAATTTGTAGGGCCTAAAGGAGAAAAGGGAGAAAGAGGTGAAACTGGTCTAATAGGACCAGAGGGTCCACCTGGACCTCCGGGACCTCTTGGTCAAAGAGGACTTCCAGGAATACCTGGAATTGATGGTCTGAAAGTATGAATGGATTAATTATTTTACAAAATAATATTTGTAGGATTTTGGCCAGGGATTTAAAAACATTTTTTTCTTGACCTACTACTGTTATACTGCTATCATACTATTTTAGGATATTAAGATTTTTTTTGGCATGCATATATCTATATATATAGAGACACACACACACACAGAGAAGCTTAAGCAGTATATATTTTGTTTCATTATATAAAATTTGTTTTTATAAATCTCTGTGTTCGTTTATAATTTAAAATAGGTATATGAATAAAAGTTACAAATATGAAATATTTTCTACTGTGATTTTTTTAAAGCCTTAAACCCTTTTATCAATAAGTGTGGACCAGTGGTCAGCATGCTGATTTGTATATCTGAGGTCCTGTAGTTCACACCCAATTACCAAACCAAAAAACTCTTGCTCTGCACTTTGAGTCCATGGGTATAAGAGTGACATCAAATCCCACTAATCAATTTGGCAGTGAGTGGTGTTGAATAGCTGCCTTCTCTTTATTCCATCATCTCAAAATTATGGAGGTCTAGTGCAGATAGCTTTGAAGTAGCTTTGCATGAAACTTAGCAAACAACAAAAATACCTTTGAGCTATATTTGCCCCAGCACATGTTTGTGCAGAACGGGTGGACAGATAAGATTATCTTGAATTACTTTCACTTCAAAATGTATATATATAACATGTTTCTGTAAATAGCTGCTGGGACATACATAACCCAAAATCAATGCCTATCGGGACACACGTCATATGTAAATCTCACAAATTATGGGTGGTGAAAATTGCTAAAAATGCAGAAAGCATTCTTTGTGTATCCTAGGTCATTTATCTGCAGTAATCTTTTCTAATTTAAGAATACAAAGACCATACTGTGACAGGATTAAGTCATGAAACTGGTCTAGTTAAAATGAATATTTTATACTCATTGAGAAGTGAAATACTTTATTGTGTGTGATTTATATACACACACACACACACACACACACACACACACACACACACACACACACACACACACACACACACACACACACACACACACACA